AATTTGAGGAATCTTGGGATTGAAAGAGTTTGATGTGCAGGAGGTTAAGATTTTGTTTTTCCCTTCACCTTTCTACTCATAGTGGTTCTCAGTTTTCTATATTGGGTTATTCTATTGTCAACTTGGTTGAGGTAGGAAACTACAGATCATATTATTATGGTTCTGAGTACAAAAGTGAATTTTCACAAGATTTGGGAGTCAAAAAGGAAGCAGAAGCTGTTATCTTTTGAAGATCATTGTTGGTTAAAAATGGTAAAAGACAAACAGTGCTGTTGGCTGGTTCCATTCTGTTCTTGTTCTTCCCTGCTGGAAACGAACTACTAAGCAACTCCACAGCACATAAAATTACCATTTTCAAAATAACTCTCAAATGCTAAAGTTACCACGTAAGCTACTGCAACAACTTATACCTGAATCCCACGCCAATTCACCACAAGTAATTAGTCATTGTGATGCTGTAACTTGCCAGGACTTATCACCATCCCACTTACCTCTAATAGTAGGAGCCTTGTAGCCATCTAAACAGGAATAACTTAATTCCAGCACATTCTATCTGTTTGCTTGCTAGGACCATTTCTGTATCAAAACTCTTAGACTGGGTTTCTCCAGAAGCCATCCTTAAAAAAGGGATTTGAGTATAAGCAGTTTATTTGGGAAATACAGGTAGGGTAGAGGGGATGTGATACAGGAAATAACAAGTACATGGATGTGAGGAAATAGGAGTTCTTTTATGCTGCTGATGAGGGTGAAAACTGGTAAGAAAATTTTGGAGTAATTTGGCAATAGCAAGTAAGTTTTTAAAAGTGTAAATCAGGGCAGGCCGAGTGGCGCATTGGTTAAGAGCTGGCTTGGGACGCCAGAGGGCCCCAGTTCAGATCCCACATATGAAGGCCAATGACACTGCCCTAGAGGCTAAGATGCTGAACAACAGCTCAACCTGGAGCTGGGCTGCTGTGAGTCACCGGAGACTGTGTAGGCTGCAGCACTTGCTGCAGTGGGTTGCCATGGGCTACCATGTGTAGCCAGCAGCCAGCATGAGCGGCCAGCAGCCAGCGTGAGCGGCCAGCAGCCAGCGTGAGTGACATCCAGAAGCCGGCGACTGATCTGCCTCACCCAGGAAGAGCGCAATGATGGTGCTCTTGGGCCAGAGAAGCAACGTCCTCCACAACTAGACTGAAGAACAAAACGACAGCAACTTGTTTGTTTCCCCTTCCTCCAATTCCCCAGCACTGTTCCCATCCCCCAATTCCCCAATAAAAATCTTTAAAAAATAAAAGTGTAAATCATATAATCCAGCAATGCCCCTTCTGGGTGTATAACATAAAACACTCTGCACCTATATATAAGGAAACATAATTATATTCCTTGTAGAATTTTTATAATAAAAACTTCAAAACACCCCCTGTGTAAAAGATTAACAAAACCTTTTCTCTTACATGAAAAAATTAGGTTAATGTTCTACCTCTGTTTGGAAATTTGATAAAGGTGGAATGTCAGCTGTATTTCTAGGTAACATTGCTAGGTCAAATGATCTCTTATTGGTAAATTGCATCTAGACAGTAAATGAACTATGAGTAGTTGGTAGGAAGCCATAACTTTGGGGCAGTGATTTTGTAACTGTTGCAGGAGATATTAGTTCATTTGGGGACATGGAGTTTCTAAATCTGAGTGGCCTATTTGGCTGTGTTCCCTCACACCTGAGCCTTTGATATGGGAGATGGGCAGGGGGAGATGCACAAAGGATAGTCCCTGAACATTTATTTATACTTCTGAGGGGACTCCTCTTAAAAACACTCCTGGCATGACAGAAGCCAAAACTTATGTGACCTATTGAGTTTTATACATGATTGTCTAGTTCAGCCTAAGACCATCACTGGTGATGTTGCAGGATACAAATGTCCATCAAAAAGGGACATATGATGTATTCCTAAGATAGGATACTATATAGCAGTTAAAGTAATGAAATTTATCTATATGTATATATTTTTCTACACCTAAAAAACATTTTAACGAAAAAACAGGTTTTGCAATTGCATATACAGTGTGATAGCAATCATGTAAATTTTAAAAATACTTCAGCACACATTGTTTAGAGATAAACATATGTATTGGCAATATAAAAACACAGACTTGAGAAACAAAGTTGATAAGTTCCTCTTCAGAAAGAGAAAGAGAGATTGAGGAGAAAAATAAAGAGATAGCCATTTTATCTGTAATATTTTATTTATTGTTTAAAAATTGAAACTTTAAATTTGGGTATAACTATATTAATATTGAAAGATATATATAATATTTTTAAAATATGTTACAAAATTTTTTCATATAGCAAATACAATTACGTTAAAATAATTGGGATTTCTTCTTTCTCCTTAATATATTTATATATCGTGTAAAGTTTTTCATGTTTATAAAATAATTATGTAAATAAAACAAACTGTAATATTTCAGGAAGGGTTGCTGGTGTCAGGATGGAAAATGTTTTCTCAGTTGCTTGAGGTTCTTGGTGCCAGGGGTTGTATTTCCTCAGTATTCAGCTTCAGTTTGGAATTGAAAGAAATTGGCATTTCTCTTTCTTATACATACTGAGAAAATACCCACTTGCTGTCACTTTGGATCATGGATTTGAGCTGGTAAATGTCATGACCACTCACGGGTTGTGACTTTCACAGGGCACAAAGGAATAGAAGTTAGAAAGTTCATTCAAGAAGAAAGGCACTGGGTAGAGAAGCTGCCAGGGGCAGAGTCTAGAGCAGACAACTGTGCCAATCTTCCAGTACACTTTTCTTATATAGCAAAGTGTAGGTGATTTTCTTACAGCAGAGGATGTGACATATAAAATAAGGACATTCCATGTATAGACTGAGGCTATTTGATTGACGTGTGCAGGTTATATAACTGGTTTATTTCTGCACATGCTCTTTCTTACCCAGAATACATACAGAAAAACCCACAAGGGGAACCAAGCCATAATGTTCATTTTGTTCTAATTGGATAATAATGAGGCCAGAGTTCAGGCTAAGAGCAGGCTCCAGCAGTCTGTGCAGGCTCTAAAAACTGGACAATTCTGGTCAGGGTCTTATCTCCTTTTTCTAGGGGTGTTTTGACAGAAAAATTTATCTCTAGGGGCTGAGCCTGGGCAGTTCCTGGAGAGTGGACTCAGCTTGGGCAAAGTACTGATCAAATCACCTTCTGTTAATCCCCCTGGGGCCTATTTTTTGTTAGCTCTTTTTCTGCCTCATCAGTAACCATAAGTTTCATTAAGACAATCAGCCACTCAAAACAAAACAGATCAATTCAGTATAAATTTCTTATGAATAACTTTATGTCTTTTATCCCATTTTCAGAAATCCTTCAAATCAATATGACTTGAAAAATAATGCTGATTCCTACTGGTGTCCCCTTTGGCTGAACACAATTTGCTGTTATTCTCTATAAGTTTGAATTTCTATAATCTTAATCTCTTATCCATCACAGCATCAAGAAGCACACATAACTAAAAAGCCCAACTTTCCTCCTCATGCTTCCCTTCACTTTCCTTCAAATTTGTCATTAACTTTCAAAACTTCAGGTACTTAACAATATAAAGTCTTCTCATAGAGTTTTTTTCATTCTACCCAAGGGAGTCATACATATTCACATTCCCTTTGACCTTTTACTTCTCATTTAAATTTTTTTGGGGGGGAGTGAGGGGAATTGGGGGAGGGGAATAGTGTTGGGGACTTGGGGAGGGGGACCAGCCAAGTTGTTCTTGGGTCTTAGTTGTGGAGGGTGCCAGTCACCATCTGGCTGCCCGTCAGCAGCTCATGGCATCTAAGATCAAGGTGCTATGTTACAATCTTAGTTGCAGGTGGGCATAGCCACTATCCCATGCAGGAGTTGAACCTGGCAACCTTGTCGTTAAGAGTGCGCACTCCATCTACTGAGCCATCCAGGCAACAGCTCAGCTCAAGGTGCCCGAGTTCAGTCTTAGTTGCGGGAGCGGGTAACCCACTATCGAAAAGGCAGTCTTGTTGTTAGGAGCACATGCTTCACCAGCTGAGCTATCCTGCAACCTGCTGGCAGCTCAGCGAGGTTGCAGCGTCACTGGCCCATGTGAGAATTGAACCGGCAGACCTGTTGCTCAGAGCTCGCACTCTTAAGCTAACTCTTAACCAACTGAACAACTCAGCCAGCCCTCCTACTGAAATTCTTAATCAATAGATTTTCAGGGGCCAGATATGCCTAAACTTTATACTTTGTAATTGCAGTTTCAAACGAATGAAAAAAATTTATGAGAGTCCAACAGTAAAATAATATGAAAATAGAATAAGAGTAGAAAACAAAATAATGACAGCATTTGTGAGAAATTGGTAAAAATTACTGTTTCACATTATTGAGGATTTCTGGTATGAATTTCCATAATTTCAGAATCAAAAAAATAGGAAGCTATTGTTATAATTGGGGAAAATAAAGCAAGCTTTACTTTTAAAAAATATAATTTGACATCTAGATTTAGCGTCTCTTCTCTCCTTAATAGTCTTTGAAAAAATCGTAAACATTTCTGCAATACTTCTAATAAGTTACTAAAATCTGCATGAGCATGCGTATTCTAAGCTATTCATCATCCCAATCATTTCCTCCTTTCTAGATGGGCCACCTAAAAATGAGGGAAATTAACCAGCACAGAATGGATCCAGGAAGAAAGATTCCAGGAGAGTTATCTTTACATTTTTAAGTTGGGAAGGCAATAAGTTTGTAAGAAGGCGATAAGTCATCAAAAGGAGTTCACTTTTGTTTTAGATTTTTGAAAGCTAAAATGATGAATGAAAAGTAAAACTGTCCTGTGCCATGTCCCAACTCTCATATCCAACCCGCCCCACACCGGCTCGGCAAGTCCCTGAGCACCTCCACACTGTGTAATAAGAAGACCATGGCTCCTACAATGTCAGAATCCAAAATCTTTCAGATGCAGTTATCCTCTCTAGTGTCTCACAAAGTTTGTGTTCAGCTCCCCATGCTATCTACAGCACTGTGGCACTCACAGCACAGAAGTACTCTGCCGAGTCACTCCAGTGGGCAAAGTGTTTCCTCAGGGTGAAGGACGTCTCATTCGTCCTAAGTTCAGCTTCAAAATCTTTGATGCCTTTAACCAAGGTGTCCCCGGCATAGTACTTGAGGAGAAGCAGGGGGCCTTGGCTGGGGTACTGCACGTACCAGAAGAGGGTAGGAGTTGCACCATAAACATACTTGCACTTCAGCTCCAGTAAAGCGCCTTCAGAGATGGTGATGTGGTTGTCAGGCTGGATCACTGTCTGGGCTCTGGTGTCTCCTGCAATATTAATATTATATCAGTGAAAAAAAGTAGTAAAGACTTCACTATGAAAATTATTTCTGTTAAAATTTAAATAAGAAAATGGTTACTTCTGTGGAACTAAGGATCATAATAGACTATTACTCACTCGGGGCAAAAATCATCCCCAGTACTGAGAAGAGCAACCGGAGCATGGCTGGTTAATGGAAATGCTGCAGGCTTCTTTCTGGAAGATATCCCCTGAGCAAGCAGTTGTGGAACCCAGCTCTTGGAAATAGGAGGTGTCAGTAAAGTTGGGCTAGACAAGTCCTTTGTTTAGGTAAAAATACAAAAACTGTTAGTTCATCTTGGGTGCTTTCTGATCTCTGATTCTCCTCACTTATGTCTGTCTTCAAAGGACTCTATGAAAGTGCTTCAATAGGCTAGCTACAGGAAGGAGGGGCTGAGGGGAAGGTGCTGATCTTCAGAAAAACAGGGATCTCTAGTTTGTCCAACATCGCCCTCTGGAGGCCAGACACAGGACCAAAGATCTAGACCAGGGGTTGGCAAACTGCAGCTCACAAGCCTCATGCGGCTCTTTGGGTACATTCCATCTCAAAAGTTTGCCGACGCGTGGAAGAGCCAATCCTGTCCCTCACGACAATTTAAAAATTATTTGAGTGCCATAAAACTGAGATAGGAAAAATTATAGGCAGTCAGGGAAATTGCCACGGTGGAGGGAATCAGGGTGGAAACAATAACAAAGCCAGGGAAATAATTTTATTAGCTAACAGATAGGTTTAGGTCACAGGACCTGCCAGAGTGACAGACAGGTGGGGGAGGAGGAAGGCCTCTTTTTCCAAGTCAGGAATTCCCATGTAGAATACATATCTTCAAAGAGGTTATTTAACATAACATAAGACTGTCAGGAGCCCTTCCATCAAAGCCAGCTCTGCTAACATACTCCTTTCAGAGCAGAGTCATTGATCAAGCTGATTAAGCTCTAAGGAAACTAGGCAGTTTTAAGAAAACACCTCTTCTGAGCTGACCAACAAATGCAGTGCCAAAAGGCACCAACCAGCCCCTCTTTCCAGACATACAAAAGGTATAAAACCAAAGCTTTTGCCCTGCAAAATTAGCAGGCAACCCAGTCAGGACCCCTCTCATTTTGATAGCTGTTACTTTCTGCCTAATAAAACTGCCCTCTGTTGCAAACTTTATCTCTCTGGTCCATGTCTCCATTCTTTGGTGCTACGAGACCACAAATCCTGGGAACATATAAACACACACACACCAAAAAAAAATCCTGCATCATTTATTGGGGGCTCGCCCGAGATCAAAAAGAGATAAATATGATCTGTACTTTTCTGTTTGCCTTGCCCACTTGCGGCCCTTCATCAATATTTTATTGTCCCTTTCTCCTATCACACAAATAATGGGCCTTCGTGAGCTAGTTAAAAGGACAAGCGCGGCTGCTATTCTTCAAAACTCGAAGGACAGGCTTAGCAGAAGGCCTCTGGTTAATCCCTTCAGACACTGAGTAGAAGGAATATTGGCCTTAGCCCAACTGCCTCCTCTCTAGTGGGGAAGAGGAGAGCCCAAGGATAGCGCAAGTCTGGGGTGAACAACTCTTGGATGCATCTGAGAAACGCTGGTCACGGCAACTCTGTGATGCATTCTGAAGGCTCCCTGGGTCTTCTCCTGACCCGATGGCCCGATGTGGTGCCGGCCGATGGCTCTCCCTCTCCCCCCCCTCTCTGCTACTCCACTGCCTTTTCCTTTTCTCAAGGAGGCTGGATACTGGCTCGTGGCTAGGTTGTGGGCCTTTGCAGGCAGATGAGCGGCCCTCGGCCATGGTCACTCCACAGTAGGACTCAAAGGCCACACTGATCCCTTCCCAGCACAACCACCCGAAAGGAAGCCGGTTGAATGTCTCCTCCATCCTTACTGCTTTTTTTTTTCATCCTGACACTATCTCTCCTCAACCCCTGAGATGCTTGGTCCAGGGCCTCTTCCCTGTGAGACCTCCTCAACACTCCACACCAGCCTCAAGACATCTTCAGGTAAGAACATGGAACCTAGCCTCTACATCTCTGCTGTTTTTGTGCCCTTTCCACCCACTGTTGACTTTCCAGCAATTACTTAGCGGCCTAAGTCCAGAGGGGGCTCCACCCTTGGGGTCCCGAATATCTGGCCACTTTCCTTTTACACCTGTGCTATTGCAAACCATCAGGCAAGATCCTAGGGGAGAGACATTTTCCGGACTCACTTTGCCATAAGAAAGTAGCCTTGGGCCGGCCAAGTGGCGCATTGGTTAAGAGTTGGCTTGGGACGCCAGCTCTGAGCAGCAGGGCTCCGGTTCAGATCCCACAGAGCAAGTGATGCTGCACCCTCTACAGCTAAGATGGTGAACAACAGCTTAACCTGAAGCTGGGCTGCCGTGAATCGTCGGCGACAGCGTAGGCTGCAGTAGGGCTGACCAGCAGCTGGCATGAGCTTTCATGAGCTGCCATGAGCCGTCATGAGCAGCTGTCCAATGGCTGGTGAGCAACCGTCTCACCTGGGAAGAGTGCAATGATAATACCAACATGGGCCAGTGAAGCGACATCCTCCACAACTAGACTGAAGAATGAAAGGACAGCAACTTGTCTGTTCCCCTTCCCCAATTCCCGAACACTGTTCTCCTCCTCCAATTCCCGAATAAAATCTTACAAAAAAGAAATAAAGTAGCCTTATCAGACATACAGATGGCCAACAGGCATATGAAAACATGTTCAACCTCACTAATCATTAGAGAAATGCAAATAAAATACCACAATGAGATACCACCTCACTCCAGTCAGAATGGCTATCATCAATAAATCAACAAATAACAAGTGCTGGTGAGATTGTGGAGAAAAGGGAACCCTGGTGCACTGTTGGTGGGACTGCAGATTGGTGCAGCCATTAAGGAAATCAGTATAGAGGTATCTCAAAAAACTGGAAATGGTACTACCTTATGAACCAATAATTCCACTCTTAGGTATTTATCCAGAAAAACCCAAGACACTGATTCAAAACAATATATGCACCCCTATGTTTATTGCAGTGCTATTTACAATAGCCAAGACTTGGAAACAACCGAAATGCCCATCGGTAGACGACTAGATTAAGAAACTATGGTACATTTACACAATGGAGTATTACTCAGCTATAAAGAAGAATGAAATCTTACCATTTGCAATGATAGATGGACCTAGAGAACATTATGCTAAGTGAAATAAGTCAGTTGGAGAAAGACAAACACCACATGATCTCACTTATATGTGGAACCTAAAGAACTGAATAAATGAGCAATGTAAACAGAAATAGTCCCAGGGCTGGCTGAGTGGCTCAGTTGGCTAAGAGCTCACTCAAGAGTGCGAGCACTGAGCAACAGCGTCGCCGGTTCAATTCCCAGCCCGAGCTGAACTGCCACTAAGCTGCCAACAGGTGACAGGATGGCTCAGCTAAAAATAAATAAATAAATAAATAAATATAATTAAAAATTAAATAGTCCCAGAGACATAGAAGAAAAATTGATGGTTGCTAGATGGGAGGGGGGTGGGGATGAGAGAGAAGGGGAAGGGACTAGATAACACAAATAAGTAACTACAATATTGCCACAGGGATATAAAAGACAGTTTGGGGAGTATAATCAATAATGTTGTAAACATTTTTTAGAGTGTCAGATGGACTCATGTCTTGTTAGGGAGACCACTTCATAGACGGTGTAGGGGCCTGACCACCGCACTGTACATCTGAAGCTGTTATTGAATAATATTGAATGTCAACTTTAATTTAATACATATATATAGTCATGGGATGTGGAGTACAGTGTGGGGATTGGAGTCAATGGAATGGTAAAAGATAAGTATGACATTGGGGGTGAGGGGACAGTGGATGAGGGGAGAGGGGCTGTCACTTTGTGAGGGGTGAAAAGTATAACTATTGCATTGTTTTGTACACTGGAAACTAATTTTTTTAAAAAGAAAGAAAGTAGCCTTATCAGCAGCCTTTTGAGGCTTCCAATATCTCTATCTACTCCCCCTTACATATTGGACATTATGATGCCCTGCCACACCCTTTCGTCTGCACTGTGTGCCTTCCCTACAGACCTTGGACATGTACTCCCTCCTTCACTATCTTTATACGGAGTGTCACCACTACTTGACTGTGCCACCAATTTCAAAGACACTCAGAGTCAGGCCAAACACCCCATTATCAGCCACTGCTTTTATCAGCCCACAGGCCTGCATCAGAAGTCCAGGAGGGGACACACACGGAGTTAGGTAGATGCCCACCCGAGGACATGGGCCAGCTGCCCAGGTAAGGCATGACTAAATCCTGGCACACCATGTCCCCCCACCCACCTCAGAACCAAGTCATGCCGTCTCCCTGGCCCACTCAGGATCTGGAGGATGCGCCAGATAAATTATTGGGAGGCAAGTTATCAGCCCTCATGCGCCTACACTCCCCAGAATTTCATCCTAAATCATCAGGGTAAATTCAATCCCCAGACTTGAAAGAAGTGGCGCCCGGTCTTCTGTTCAGAAGCATGGCCTCAATACAAATTAGAAGGCTGGGAAACATGGCCTCCAGAAGGAAATATTAACTACGATACTATCAGACAGCTAGATTTGTTTTGCAGACGGGAAGGCGAATGGTCAGAAGTTCCCTATGCCCATTCAAAGAAACTTCCAGCGGGATCCCCATCCCCAGGGGAGGCCATCCCCATAGGAAGAACCTAGTCAAAAGATCATCCCCAAACTCTATACCCTCCCCCCAGAGCTGGCTCTGAGGGACGCCCCTGCTAATTACCCTACACATTCAAGACTTCCTACATGAAAGCGCTCCCAGAATGGGACAAATTTTTTCCCTTTATAGGAAATGCCTGGAGAATGTGGGCCTGCTAGAGTTCAGGTCCCTTTTTTCTTACAGGATCTTAGACAAATAAAGGGCAATTTGGGGACGTTTGCAGACGACCCTGACAGGTACATAGAAGTCCTCCAAAACTTAACTCAGATCTTTGACCTCTCTTGGAAAGATATCATGTTACTCTTAAATCAGACTCTTAACTCTTCTGAAAGACAAAACAGCCCTGCAAGCTGCCATACAATTTGGAAATGACCAATCCCGCTTGTGTTTGGCTAAATTTCCTCAGGCTTCAGGACCCCCTTCCACCTCTTCCTCCCATTCTTCCACTCCATCCCTTTCTCAGTCTCTTGAGACGAGGTACCTCCTCCTACTCTGCTGGTCTTGTTCCCACAGGGACCACCGGCAGTGAGACTCATTGTAAGGGAGATGGCCTAAGTTCACGTGTGCTAACATGTGTGC